AGAGTGGTGGGTTCAAACCCAGCCTGGGCCAGCTAAACAACAATGACAACTGCAACAAAAAATAGCCAGGTGTGGTGGTAGGCACCTGTAGTCCCAGCTACTTGGGAGGCTAAGACAAGAGAATCACTTTAGCCCAAGAGTTTGAGGTTGCTGTGAGCTGTGATGCCACGACACTCTACCAAGGGTGATGTAGTGAGACTCTGTCTCAAAAAAAAAAAAAAGAAAAAAGAATGTAAACTACTTGATACTGTCATCTGCCAGGTTCCAACATGACCCACCTTGGATGTTGAACTGCTGGGCATGTGTTGACTTTTCAGTGATATTCTTAGAGGCAGAGTGCCAATAGAGATATAGTTAACTGGCTTACAGTAAGCCATCCTCCCATTGCCCAGAATACCAGCTGCTTTTACCAAAGGACAGAGATGAAAATGTACTGCCAAGTACTTGCTATTATAATCTCTCCTTCCATGTAGTTAATATTAATGCATGCAAGATGCATTCTGTCAGTTAATATTTACTGAGATCCTATTATGTGCCACGTATTATTCTAAACACTAAGATATAAATGCTCACAAAATCTGTGTTCTTGTGGGAGATGACAGTTAATCAGGGACAGTTAATAGGTAAAGAAATAAATAATAACTCCAGATAATGATAAATGGTAAACTAAACTAAATAGTCACGGGAGAGAAAATGACTAGGAAAGAGAGGGTAACTAATTTCAACAAGTTGGTTAAGGAAGCCTTCTCTAACAAGGTGTTATCTATCCTAAGACATGGATTATGAGAAACCAGAAATGTGAAGATCTATGAGACCCATGTGTTAGGGTTAGAGAACAGTATTACACAGTAGGCGATCAGTCAGTACAAAAGCCCTGAGACAGGAATGAGCTTGACATGTCTGAGGAGCAGAAAGGCAGCTAGTGTTGCTGGAGGGCAGTAAAGAGGTAAGAGAAGTACATGAGGAGAAGTCAGGCAGACAGGCAGAGTAATGATCATGAAGAAATCATAGAAGCCATAAAAAGGATTTTACCTCAATTATACTGGAGGCTTTTAAGGAAATGAGGGCACGAGGATAAAGGGGTGGGTTTATTTTATAAAGTTCATTCTGAGAGCCAGGACAATTCAGTGGAGAAAGTATAATCTCTCTCTCTCTCTCTCTCTCTTTTTGTAGATACAGCCTCACTTTGTTGCCCTTGGTATAGTGCCAGAGCATCAGAGCTCACAGTAACCTCAAATTCTTTGGCTCAAAAGATCCTCTTGCCTCAGCCTCCCAAGTAGCTGGGACTACAGGCACCTGGCACACGCTGGGCTAATTTTTAGAGACGGAGTCTCGCTCTGGTTCAGGCTGGTCTTGAATTCCTGACCTCAAGTAGTCCACCCATCTTGGCCTCCCAGAGTGCTAGGCCTATAGGTGTGAGCCATTGCACTCTGTGAAGAATAATCTTTTCAAAATATGGTACTAGGACAACTACATATCCACATGCATAAGAATAAAGTTGTGCAACTACCTCAAATCATATGCAAAAATTGATCCCAAAATGGATCATATTCCTTAATATGTGTAAGTGTTAAAATTATAAAAACCGGCTCAG